TTCAGAAAAGATCTTCCAATAAAAGCAGTTTTTACGTATGTTACAATTACCTCCTCCTTTTGGGGATTTCGTACTCGAAATCACGACGACTCGAATAATGCCGGATACTTAGCCTTCATTTCATTCTTGTTCTCCYACGTCCAATTTGGTCCACGGTGATGCTTCCACTTTAGTAGCACCAAATCCACGACCTTGTTTCGTAAGTTCATCGATCTCTCATTCAATATTGTTTCCGGTTCTTCAACATATCTAAGTTTTTTGTCCAGCTTCACTTCAGTCAATGGCACCATTTCTTCATRTTTTCCAAGACATTTTCGGAGATACCCGACATGGAAGACATTGTGTATTCCGCTGAGCTCTTCATGTAGCTCCAATCTATATGCTTGTTTTCCAACACGCTCAATGATTTTGAAGGGTCCTACAAAACGAGGACTAAGTTTACCCTTCTTTCCAAATCTCATAATACCCTTCCATGGCGAAACCTTTAATATTATCATGTCGCCAACTGAAAACTCTATGGCCGTCGCCATTTGTCGGCATATGACTTCTGTCTATCTTGTGCCGCCTTCATTCTTTCACGAACGATTTGAATCTTTTCATGAGTATCTTGTATCAATTCTGGACCAGCCAAGATTTTCTCTCTTGTTTCATGCCAACACAAAGGTGTACGACACTTTCGSCCGTATAACGCCTCGAATGGTGCCATCTTGATCGATGCATGGTAACTGTTATTGTATGAAAACTCCGCTAATGGTAAATACTTGTCCCAACTACCTCCAAACTCTAGTACACACGCACGTAACATATCTTCCAAGGTHTGAATCGTTCTCTCTGTCTGTCCATCGGTCTGTGGGTGATACGMTGTGCTAAGAGCAACACGCGTCCCTAACTCTCTCTGCATGCTTGTCCAAAAGTTTGAAGTGAAACGAGTGTCACGATCTGAGACTATTTTAACTGGTACACCGTGTCTAGCAATAATTTCATTCAAATATAACTGTGCCCACATATTAATTGAATAGGACTCGCGAACAGCAAGAAAATGAGCACTCTTCGTCAGTCTGTCTACAATAACCCAGATACTATCGTGTTGCTTGGACGTCTTCGGTAGTTTTGTAATCAAATCCATAGATAGTTCTTCCCACTTCCACACAGGCACACTCAGAGGTTGCAAGCTCCCATAAGGTTTCTGATGCTCATCTTTAACTTGCAGACACGTGGTACACTCTTGTACGAAACGACCAATATCCGACTTCATTCCTGGCCACCAATAATCTAACCGCATATCTTGATACATCTTTGTAGTCCCAGGGTGAATCGACATCTTTGATTTATGCGCTTCAGTCAATACAATCTTCCTTATTCCTCCAAGTTTGGGTACCCAAATACGATTTCTGAACACTTTCAATCCACGACTATCTTCCGATAATGAATCCAAATAACAAATCATTCGCTCCGATTTCACATGTTTCGGTTTCAAAGCCTTACTTTGCCATTTCCATAGGTCATCCATAAGTGTAGATTTCACTGTCGTATGAGTAATAACATAACAAATCCC